AACATGGAGACTCTGTGAAGCCCCTATAGCCTGTCCCCGGTATCTTTTCATATCAAATCACTTGAAATTAMAGGGTTAGACAGAATCTCACATCGGGAGCAAGGAGGCTCTGAATTTGTAAGCAGGCAAGCGAAACAGAGACAAATAGAGACATGGACAAATGGAGACATGGACTGAGACATGATATACACAAGAAAAAAGCAGAGTTCATTCTAACACTTGACAGAAATTTTATATATAAAACGGCGCGCGTGTCTCTGTCCTCTGATATAAACACGGTGGGAGTTCGAAAAACACGAGAGAAGCAAGCTTAGTGTTTTTCAACTTCCACCGTGTTTATATCAGAGGACAGAGACACAAGCGGCTGTTTTATATTTCTTTTATAAAATTTTTCGAAAAGAAAATTTTGCCGGTAAGCCGTGTCTCTGTCCTCTGATATAAACACGGTCGTCAGCCAATCAGAGCGCGCGTTATATATCAAAAATTTTATAATAAGTATTAGAAGCTACTGTTAGAGACACGCGGCTTGTTGAGAGACCACGAAATGCTGTCACAGAAACAAGGTTATATTTAACCAATCAATGCGCTCCTGATATAATAATTTATAATAGAGATGTAATAGTACGAGCGCTCTGATTGGTCCAAGAGCGAGGATTTATTTCGCTGGTAAATGCACGCCCGCGAGCATGATTAACTTTCTAAATCATCGCCGTGCTCGAGATTTTTAGACATATTTTTCGTGATCTCCCATCATGCCCACGTGCTTTATTGTTTAAATATTTAATATATTAAATGACGTCAATACAGAGATCAAAAGATTGTTTGATTCAGAGAAATTTTATAATTTCTTTTATTCTCTCTAACTATCAGTTTTTATTATCTTTATTTATTATTCAAGTTTTTATCACTTAGTCTTCTTTAGTTGTTCTTCCTTTGTACACACTCAGAGAGCCTTGCAGTACTAAATAAAGAAGAGGAGCAGAAGTGATGCTTTAGAGAATTCTCGTCCAAAACGAATGAGAAACCAAAGAGGTAAAGAAAACCTTTAAAGAACCATCGTCAACCAGCATTCAATGCGGTCGATTTTTAGATTTTATATATGGAAAATGAGGTGATTTCGAACATCCATTCGCAATTCTGTCTCCATCCGTCAGTTTTAAGGTCGAATCTTACAATATCTGCATTCATAGAGCACAAAGGGAAAATAAAGAGTCCATTTGTCGAAGAAGCTTCGAACGTGTC